GGGGGGGGCAGGTGGAGCAAGAGAATGAGGCGCTTGGGAAGTAGATATGGCTTTTTTTCTCTCTTTTTCTTTTCCCCTTTCGTCTTCTTCATCCCCTTTCCCTCTCTTCTCAATGGCCTTCGTTCTATGGATTAGATGAAGCACGGACTGCACATTATTTGCTACTAGCTACCAGTTAGCCGCCGTGCAGTGGGATATAGGGGGGAGAGAGCGAATACTATCGAGAGCTTTAGCATAGGGGAAGTCTCCCTGTTAAAGGAGCCAAGGCTGGTAAGCCTTAGGAACCTTCTCTTGACAAGAAATTCAAGCTGATTAACTTGTTCAACATACCATGTTCAACCTTTGATGAGATGTTTGCCGGCGTGAGGAGGTACAGAACCTGTTACTGCAGCCAACCGCTTCGCTGCAGGCGGACCTTATTCACATGAGCAAACGCTGGTCTCTGCACTGCTGTTTCTGCTGCTGCTGCCCTTGGCTCCCACTGTTACCTCTAGGCTTCTAACCGGGCCTAGTCCAGCACAGGCAAAGGACCAACGGGTTCGAGAAGGGCCATGTCTTGAGGGAAAAGAGGTTCCCACCCACAGAGGGAGAGGGGGGCCTTCAACGTTGTCTTGTCTGGACTCAACCTCCTATTATGCTGGTGTGTTCCCGACCACGTCTCCCCCTTTCTTACTACACCGCATCCCGAGAAATCAGGAGGGCCCTTTGTTTTGCTCTTCATGATCTTTGGTCTTCAGCAGCTTGTTGCCATTGGTGCTGGCATGGTGCCGGTGCTGTGTACTTGTTAGATGAAGAACGGGGTCTGGCAGCTGTATAGATACACCAACGCAACGCAACACGTACAGATGTGTTTTTATTTTATTTTGTATTTTTTATTTTGTATTTTGTATTTATTTATTTTTACTTTTCCTCCTTCCGTTTGCACACACGTCCACACGGTATCGACTTCTTTCCTCTATCCATCTTCATCATCTTGGTTCTGTCTATGTTTTTCTTCTTCCCTTTTTTTTTTTTTTCGTGCAAGTCGTTCTTTTCTTCCTGTCCCTTCCCCTTCTGTTCTATTTTATTTTTCCTCTTCGTCAGCCCCTTCTCGACTCAATCTCCTCTAATCGTTTCCTCCGACTTCTCATCTAACCTCTTAACTTTCAGCTATGGACCCTGCCCTAGGCCAGTCTTCCTCGGACAAGTCTTACTCGCCCGGACCAGGCTCCATCATGACATCCTCATCGCGTGATACCACGCCAGATCATTCTTCCGAAGGCCCGATCCGTAAACCGGGTGCTGGGGTGGATGTCGTGGATCCAAGCCTGACGCTGGCTTCTGCAGTCAGAGGGCCTATGGCCAACCACGAGGGAGGCAGGTCGGAGATGGAGAGAGCGCTGAATCCGACGTCGAATCCGTTCGTGGTCGGGGCTGTTCAACGTCGCTCGAAGCCCGCAACACCCTCAGACCGCCATGCGGTACAGTCCCGGGAAAAACAGCCGCACCAACCACAACCAATGCAACGACTTCACTCGGCATCGACTAATCCGAACAGTGGCGGTGGTGGTGGTCCTGGGGAAGGAGCCGGTGGGGTCATCGGAGGCAGTAGCAGGAACAGCATTACAGGCCCCCCGAGATATTTCGACTCTCCAAGCTGGCATCCCGGGCTGGTGGGCAGCACAACACCGACCACTACCGCTAAAACAGTTACAACAACACCCACGAACCTGCTCAGTGGCTGTTTTCCGCCACCGAGCCCACAGGTCACTTCGGGAGGAGGCGCACACTACATGGCAATGCGGATGGATGCGCGTCCCGAACCGCCAGGACTGCTGGGAGCTGGCGGCGGCAACTTGGAAAACTTCTACGCGTACTGCTTTGACCGTGGAAACGGCAACTACGCACGTCTCATCCCGGCCGATATGCTGCCTCCACTCGCGGGCATCCCCGCCTTCCAGCAAGGGTCGGAGGGCATGATAGTGCTCCCCTTGCCTCAGGGGTTACCTCCTCGAGGACCAATGAGCAACATCCAGCCAGTCATGCTGAAGGTGAGTGAAGAAGTACTGTGCTTTTCCTGCGCTGAAATATGATTTTTGTTTTCTCCCTCTCAGCCAGATCCATAACCCATACGCGCTACTCCCTTGCCAGTCGGGTGAGAGTGGGTGGACTGAATGTTGCAGACCCCTCCTGCGTCCCCAAAGCCGGTGTCTGATATGATCCAGGTAACGTCCACGCTCGCTTCCCTATACCCGTCTCCCATTGTTGGTTCTTGTGCTTTTCTTCTTCTTCTTCTTCTTCTCCTCTTCGTTCTTGACTTTGCATATTCTTTTTCGTCGTGGATCGTCTTCGGCCACCCCCCTAGCCCTCTAAGACATACCACGCTGACCGGATCTTGTCCTTGCTAGAAAAAAATAGACCACATCGTTGCCACCTCGCCAGCCCAACCCAAAAGACCCAAAGTCTACTGCGACAAGTGGGTTCACGAGGGCGTATGTGCCTTTACGCAGCAAGGATGCAAGTACAAGCACGAGATGCCGATGGACAAGGCGACCCAGAATTCCCTAGGCCTCTTTCATGGGCTTCCGGCCTGGTGGAAGAAGCATCAGGCCGAGTTGCAGAGACAGCAGGACTCGGAGGAGACTGTGACCATCACCGGGGTAGATTATGGGATTGCCAGTAGTGCCAACAACGCAAGTGCCGGCACCATGGTCGGTGGTTTTCAAATGCTTGGGATTGGGGCCGGAAACGTCCCGGTGAACGGAGTCGGCGGCAGGGATCGAGCTCTAACGTCGCCTGCCACAACGATTCCCCAATCCACTCTGTCTCAGCCACCCGGCCAGGGTTGGCGTCCCAATGACGGAACTTTCAAGCACACTTCGATGCCGTATCGGTCGTCTCCCGGCACGGTCCCTCCGGGAAACGCGGGGCAAGCCCAGATGGCTACGTTTAGGTCGAACGTCGCAACTGTACCTCGATTGTCAGGTATACCTTCCCTTCCCTGGGCTTGAATAAAGACAAGATTAGGATGCTTTCGTTGAACAAAGCTGACGGCATGGACGGTGATAGACCCCAGGTTGCCACTTCGACATCGAGAGAGTTTGCCCCCCCTGCCACCGTCTTGCATGTGGGGTCCCATCGGACCGCCGTCGAAGTTTCCCGGGCTGAGCCACGGCGACACGGCTGCCGATGCGGGGCCGGGAACCGCCAGATGGGGGTTGAACCGGACAGGTCCGGCTATGATGCCACACGGGCCGCAACCGCCGCCGGGGTTCGTTGGTTTCAGCGGTGCCGAAGGCAACGACGTCTCTACTCAGGGTCCGACGGGCTTAGCGGTGCTGAACCCTCGCTCTGGGAAATGAGCATAAAATTCATAGAGGCAGACAAGGACAGCAGAGCTCGGCCCCTGAAATGGGTTTTTAGTTGCTCTATACGGGTATGATGTCGGGTAATTTAGGGCGGTACAATGACGGACATGACACAACTTGGAAGAACTTTTGGGATGAGGGCTGACCGAGGAGGCCAACTGGGATTTTTTTTTAGGTCTGTATGGATTATAGGAAAAAGACACGGGCATTGTTATCCTTAGACGTAGCGAGGATGCTGCTCTTCGGTGGCGCGAGTATTTCTAGACTCGTTGGACCAATGTTTTTACTTTGTGATATTTTCACGCGTCGTGGCTCATATTTCAGCTCCGTTTACGTTCGAACTTGCGAAGGGCGTATCTCCGAGGGCGCAAGGGGAGGGGACAGGTCTAGCCTAGCTCGTCGGGTGGTGGTGGTTGATCATGCCGGAAGTGAGGTCGAAGAGCCGGTGCTAACAAAATGACCAATTTCGGCAACACCGTAATTATCTGTACACGTGTAGACCGAGCCTATTTTTGTCAATGATGGTGTAGGTGATCAGTCCAGAGCACCCCAAGTCGTATTCCTAACGGGAGTAAGTAACCAAAGGAAGATGGGAGATTTAAGAGGCCAGACATGTTCTTCTCTAGAAGAAGGGGGAAAAATCTGAATCGCTCGAAATGCGGCGACGGACAAGAACATGTGAAAGATACAATACGAGGCTCAGGGTTGTACGAAGTATTCAGCATATCAAGCCACAAAAACGACATGCAGGAGGATGAAACGTCGAGTTGGACGAAAACGCACGGATCACATGCCGGACGCACGGACATATGAAGGTGGAAAGTAGGGACCTCTTTGTGGCCCGTGCAAGACCTTCTAGAAGGATTTCCCCGCCCGAGTAACCCCTCCGAAAACAGGACCCAAAAACGCCAAATCAAATAAGGGGTGCTGTTGCAGGCTTCGTAAGGCCTTCCATTCTTCTTTTCCCGCTCTGTTTTCAGCAAGGTTACGACCATGGAAGTGCTTCTGTGGGGTTCTAGACATTCATTGGTCTCATACTACTTCGTACCATAAGGTACTTCATGCCTCAGTCCTCAGTCCTCAGTCCTCCCTCCTCACACCACCCGACCTAATAGAACGTAATTCAAGCCGGTCATTTTTCCCGCTTTGACCTCAAAAAGAGGAAAGAGTACTTGGGTTAATTCTTTCTTGTCGTTACTTTGTAGAACAACGCCCATGCAAGTTCCTCTGGGACGCTGATGCCCTATGGATAAGCGATTCTGAAAGAGCGTTGACCAGTCTGAGACCCTTAAAGGTCTCCACACCCCGACCGGTCCTCCCGCGGCCTCTCCGTACCCTGTGATTTACGTATTAGTGCTGCTTTTTGGGTTGGAAGACGTAAATGAGGCGATTCGCCCCTCCTCTTTGTTTCGAAAGTACGAAGTACCTATACCTGAGACCCTGGAAGAACCCTATCACAAACATCAAACAGTACGTACCCAAACATAAGTTGTCGACTCTCGCCATCGCGGTGTTCCACCTTCTTTTCCTTTGTACTTCGTAGGTATCCGTACTTCGTTCGTCCTGACCAAAACCAAAGTCACCCACCACCCCCTCAATAATTCCACACGGGCAGGCACGTACACCACACGCACCACACACACACACACACATAACATATTCCCTCCCTCTTCTCTGCCTCCTTATACCCATCTCCAAGCTCTTTCTCTAAGCCGAATTCTCCTTCTTTCTTTTATTTCTCAAAAACACACGGATTCCATTATTAACCTTGTTTCTTCGGTGCTCCCTTACGCTCCACACAAGCTTTCCTAGCATCGTTTGATCCCTGTGCGTGTCCAGATTCGAATTGTCTCTGCCCGTCTTCCTCAAACTCGTTTACCATCCTCAGCCCTCTTTGGCAACGGGTAAAGGGGCCAGTGCACGGTATGTTGCCGACGCGTCTCATTCTGTGCATATATTTCCCTTTCCTCTACCCCATTCTGCCCTGGGCTGGATCTTCGTCTGGTCTTAAGCTTCTGCGTTTTCTTCAGGCCAAGACCTGAGATCCCTACCTGCCCACCCCTTCACAGTTCTCGGCTGTAGCCCTTATCCCCTTGTCCTGGACGGAGAGGAACGCTGTCCTGATTGTTTGGACTCGAAGCACCAGATTATCCACTTCCTCGGCATTCTGCTGAGTTACCCAGCGACCTGGTTTCCGGCACGTTCAGTATTCAAAAGCTTCAATTGACTCGTGGGACATTCTTCCTAGAAAAGCCAACCACGACGATACGCACTACCATCTTCTCTCAGCAAGTAAGAAGCAACATAACGTTCCGGCTGTCGCCAGCTTCATCACTCGGCCGAAGCCCACGTCTTCATCGCACAGCTACCAATCGCAGCTGTAAGTTGCAATTTCCTCTCCAGCCTCTTACCATCATATTACCTTTCCCCGAATTCTCGGACGACCACTTCCCCTTGCATATGCCCCGCGGCCGGACGCACCGGCATTTTACCCTCTCTCCCCCCGTTTCTCTCCGTACATGTACCCATACCTGTACCCGGGTCCTATCCGCCTACAAGTCGCAGGTCCTGGCCGATACTTACATTGGTACGGCGCGGAGGGTTCGGAGGTGCAGTCGGCCTGCTGCGCCTGTTTCGTAGTTTATTTTTTCCTTTTTTTTTTTTCGTTCCCTTTCTTCAGCTTCCCGGACTTGGTTTTAGGGGTCTCGCATACCCCCGACAGGTCTTACGTCCTCCTAGCCACACGGGCCACTGCACAGTTTGTAGCCGCCACCCCGCCTTATCATTCTCGTCAGCTGTCATGCTTCTTCACATCTGATGTCGTTTTGGGTGGCGCACCCCTCCCCTCTTTGGCGCTATCTATCTCCCCCTGCCCCTCAAGCGCCCTTTCGCCACCACCATGTCGGATAGCCCCGGTCGTTTCTTACGTATCTTCCTTATCCTTTCGCCCCACCCCTCCACCCCCCCTCCTCAACTGGTTGGCTGCCTTTCTCTCCCCATCCGCACGTCATGGTTCATTTGACTTCCGTTCCGCTCCCGTCACTAACCTTTCAAACCACAAGCACAAGCACAAGCCTCCTCTCCTGTCTAGATACATTTGGTGACATCGCCCGCCGGCTCGGGAACCAGGCAGTGTCTTGAAGAAGGAGGTTAGTAGTTCTCAACTCTTTCCTTCCCCATCTGCGAAAGATACCACTACCATAATCACCCTATATTGGTAGCAAAGACTTGGAAGTTTGGGGTTGGCGCCTTCCAATGTACCCAGCACCCTGACTCAAGAGCCCGTTTGTCATGTCCCTGCCCCGAGGCTTACCATAAGAGAAGTTCAGAACCATCCGACCGATTCATCCAGCCATAACAAATCGATCCCCAATATCCTCAGAAGCTCAATCTCCGATACCATCTCTTCGCTCTTCGTCCTCCCTCCGCCTTGGGTTCGAAGAGAAAAAAAACGACGAATCGCCGCGGCCTTTCTCCTTCAAGCAGTGCTGGATTTACCAGCAACAACAGCTATCCAGGCATCCTCTAACACCCCACCCTCCATCGCGATACCTACAATCGCCACTTGAAATCATACGGCCTTCATCATGTCCACCGAGTCATCCCAGTTCTCCCCTTTCGGGTCCAACGTAAATCCCTTCGGACCTCGCGAAGGTGCCAACGGGGGAAGTGCGAATATTATGCATCGCGTGATCGAAGAGGAGGAGACTGCTGACGCTGTGGCTTCCCCCACCAACCCTACGTTTCGCACTGGACCCAGCCCGTCCGCCTTCCGCAGCCCCTTCGGCTCGTCACTCCAAGGAGACGCACCTTTCGGCACGCCGCCCACCGTTAGGAGCCCTCCGAATCCCGATCACTACCCTGCTGACTACAACTTCAACCGTCGCACGTCCGTCTCGGCCGAATCGCTGAAACCCAGCACCGATAGCAATGACGCTAACTGGACCTCGCCTTACCATGAGAAGACGCCTGAGCAATTGGCACGTCTACGAAAAGCCGTCGAGGGCAATTTCCTCTTTAGCCACCTGGAAGAGGAGCAGAGCACTCAGATTCTAGGTGCGCTCTACGAGAAGCCCATCCCGGCCAAGGGTATCAAGGTATGCCAAAAAAAAAAAAAAAAAAAAAAAAAAAAGAATTGCCCAGCCCCACCCACTTCGCGGCCAAGCATTCCCTCTTTTTCTTGTTCAGCGTGGAGGCGGCAAGTTCCTACGTTCTCACTAACATGAGAGACTTGTACAGGTGATCTGCCAAGGAGATGCCGGTGATTACTTCTACATTGTCGAGAATGGGTCATTCGACGTCTACGTAAACAGGAGTGGTACCCTACGGCCAGGACCCGACGGCATGGGACAGAATGTCGGGACCATCCAAGCCGGGGGTTCCTTTGGCGAACTCGCTCTCATGTACAACCACCCGCGAGCGGCCACGGTCGTTTCCGCCGAACCAGGTTGCACCCTGTGGGCGCTCGATCGGAATACGTTCCGACGCATCTTGATGGAGTCGACGTTCGCCAGACGACGGATGTACGAGAGCTTCTTGGAAGAAGTCCCGATCCTGCAGAGCCTTACCCCGTACGAGCGGTCGAAGGTCGCGGATGCTCTCGAGACAAGAAAGTACTCTGCCGGCGATGTGATCATCAAAGAGGGCGACCCGGGCGACGCCTTCTTCCTGCTGGTAAGCGGCGAGGCCGATGCCTATAAGAGCGGCATTGAAGGGTCCGTGAAGCACTACGGCAAGGGGGATTTCTTCGGCGAGCTTGCGCTCCTGAATGACGCCCCTCGTGCGGCTAGCGTGGTGGCTGCCAACGATGTCAAGGTGGCCAGCTTGGGGAAGAAGGCGTTTCAGAGATTGCTCGGTCCTGTCGAGGGGCTTTTGCGGCGGACAAGATATGCGGGCGTCGAGACGGGGGTTGAAGATATGGATCCCCTTCAGTCGGCGGCCTGAGAAAGGCGCGACGAGGTGGCGAGATGCCCCCGTGATGGGCAATGTGGGATAAGGGATAAAAGATAAGGGGGAGAGAGAGGGGGGGAATAGTAGCAGGATGTGGAGGGGGGGTTTTAGTGCGTGAATATGAACGTCAAGAGAACATGAGTTGCCCATGGAGCAGACAGTATTAAAATGGAGATTTTTTTTTCCATCTCCTTTTGCTTTCTTTTTTTCTTTTCCTCTTCCGACAGAACAACGGCGTTATGGGTGTCTGCCTTTCTTTTTTGCCTTTAGGTCCCAGGGTCAGGAGGACGGAGAATGGACAGGAAAGCGCGGGAGTGAGAAACATGGTTCGTTCGAGTGACGATGACGATAACAGATACCTGTGAATAAGAGATCATCGCATTATCATTAGTCCTGTCTGTCTGTTCCTTCTTCAGTTCTGATCAATGGGCCAACTTTAGGTGACTTGTTGTCCAGGTTTCTAGCCGCCCTCCCTTTCCATACGGTCATCCCGTTGTGAGGGGGGTATCTCGTGATTTATAATGTACAATATAATGTCCTGAAACAACGAAGTGGTATACGGAAGGGGGAGGGGTTTCTTTTTTCTTTTTTTCAACCTGCCGTCGCAGTAGCGGTGGTCATCCTCGCCCGCCTGTGCATCTCGACCAGGACCTCCTTCCTCAGATTCTCGACGGCGACCTCGGTCTCGAGGACGCGGGCGACGCCCCTGCGCCAGGCGTCGGCAAGGGAGGCCATCTCGCCGGCGGCGTCGTCCTGGGCGCGGCGGCGGGCGATGTTGAGGACGTCGATCTGGGCCTTGGCGTGGGCGAGGTCCTTCTCAAGGGCGCGGAGGTCGGTCTCGAGGGCGTAGTTGCCGAGGAGCCAGGCGTTGCGGCCCCACTTGTCCAGGAGGCGGAGGTTCTGCAGGCGGGTCGTGAGGTAGGTGTGCGAGGCGTGAGCTTTGCGGAGGGTGGAGGCGAGGGCGTCGACGGCAGCGGACGGGTCTTCTGACGAGGTTGAGGTGGACGCGGATGGTAGTTCTTGCGCCTCGTACCGGGAGAGGTCTATCGCTTGGAGGGGTTCTTTACGGGATATCCTTTCGAGTTCGGCTTCGATGAGGGGGGAGAGCTTGGGTTCGCGGAAGGGAGGCAGTTCGGGGGGCTGGAAGGTGGCGAGTTCGTTTGCTATTTCGGCTTCGGCTGCTGCGCGCTCTTGTTGGGTTGGTTCGGGGTCGATGTCTTTTTAGATTGCGTGTATCATGTTAGTTGAACAGTTGAACCCTGGGCGAAGAGTTTTCGCAGGACGAATGAACGTGCTGAGCAAATGGAACTCGGAAAGGTGGACGTACAGGGAAGGGATTCGTGGAAGGCGGTTTGGATGCTCATCGTGGCTAGCTATTTATTGTGAGGGCCTTGGGACTCTTCGGGTGAGTTGGACAGTCCGATGGGAACGTAACTGGAAGATTAGGCCCGTATTCTGAAATCGAAATTCGTGGAATGTTTTCCGCAAAATTTTAGGCCGGCCAACGGGTGGATTTTGAGTACGGAGGAAAATAATTGGGTTTGGAGTTTGGTTGTGTTTGTGTCCATGTCCCCCGTTTTGCGCATGCGAAGACTTGGGGATATGTTGGAAGTTGGAAGTGCCGAAGAATGGCTTACGTAATACATAGACTGGCAAAGTAACGGTCGAATTTCTTCAACACCACCTCAGAAAGAACTTCACGACATAGGTATTTATTAGAGGAGTCTCCGTACTCAGTACTTCCCCATCGCAACATGCAACACGGGTCATGGTCGTTTCGATTGGTTATTTATTTCCCCCTTATTTTATCCTTTTGGGGATGTGTCACCTGACGACCTCTCTCCTCTCTCCTCTCTCCCGTCTCCTCCCGTTCCCACGCTCACCGGATATGACGCATTTATTATATTTCATGTTGATCAGAGGTGCCAAAAGTAGAAGGTAAGTATGTATAGTATGCGTACGACGATAGCAACATTTCTCCTGAAATATGGGAAATGGTCAAGCCAGCTTCGAAGGCTTTGGATCGCTGTCTCCGACTTCCTGCTTTGCCTTTTCGCGGAGGATTTTGCGCAAGATTTTCCCGGACTGCACATGTCATGAACCAGTTGTTTGAGCTTCATTGATGGAGGGAAGAAGGAGGGAGGGAGGAAGCAGGGAGGGAAGAAGAAGGGAAAAAGGCTTACCGGATTCTTGGGAATATTATCGGTAAATACAACACCCCCCCTGAGCCGCTTAAACCTCGCTACCCGGCCGTCCAACCACCCGGAAATCTCCTCAGGCGAAGCGGTAGATCCAGGCGTACGAACAACATAGGCACGGGGCACCTCCTCACCACGCACGGTGACCCCAACAACGGCAACGTCAGCGACGTCGGGGCGCTCGAGCAGCAGGGCCTCCAGCTCGGCGGGGGCGACCTGGTGCCCCTTGACCTTGATGAGCTCCTTGATGCGGTCGACGATGAAAAAGAGCGCGCCGGGGCGGTAGGCATCGACGTAGGCGATGTCGCCGGTGCGCAGCCAACGGGTACGGGTGTTGTTGTTGTTGTTGTTGTTGTTGTTGCCCTCCTCCGAGTCGACGACGATGGTCTCGGCTGTGGCTTTCGGGTTGCGCCAGTAGCCGCGCATGACGGTCGGGCCGCTGACCCACAGCTCGCCCTGGGTGTGCGGGGCGGTGACCTCCTTTCCGGTGGCGACGTCGACGAGCTTGGCGCGGCAGTTGGGCATGACCTCGCCGACGGCGTTGCTTTTGCCGTCGTGGCGGCGCGGGTCCCAGGTCATGGCGGTGCAGGTGAGCTCGGTCATGCCCCAGCCCTGGCGCACGAGGAGGGGGTTGTCGTTGGTTTTGTCGTTGGTTTTGGTTTTGGTTTTGTTGTTGTTGTTGTTGTTGTTGTTGTTGCTGCTGTTCTTATCGGCAAACATGCGCTCCACCGCGGCCTGGGTGTCGCTGCCGAGCGGGGCGGCGCCGCAGCCGACAGACTCGATGCTGGAGAGGTCGAACTGGCGGGCGGCCGGGTGCTTGGCGAGGGCCACGAGGACGGGGGGCACGGCGGTCAGTTGGGTGATGCGGTAGCGCTGGACGTGGGCGAGCATCTTGAGGAAGTCAAAGGCCGGCATGACGTAGACGGGGATGCGCATCTTGGCGAAGTTGGCGACGAAGTAGGTCTGGGCGTAGGCGTGGTACATGGGCAGGAAGCAGAGGCCGGCCGAGCGGAGGACGGCCTCGGCGTGGTCTTCGGCCAGGGACGACATCTCGACGACGCCGACGCCGTTGGCGACGTAGCTGTAGTGCGAGATCTCGACTCCCTTGGGCACGCCGGTGGTGCCGGACGAGTAGTTGAGGCAGCACGTGGTCTCGCGGGCGTCGGCGGGCTCGACCCATTCGTACGACTCGGCTGCTTGCCGGCTGGCTACGAGTTTGGTCCAGTGACGGGTCGTCTCCGATGCTGGTGGTGACGCTGACGAGTCGTCGGGGCTGCTGTCGTCGAGCACAAAGATGCGGTCGGCGGGCAGGCCGGCCTGGGCGGCGGCATCGAGCGCGACGGACAAGCTGTCTTGGGCGGTGACGACGATGCGGGCGCCGCTGTCGCGGAGCTGGTAAGCTAACTCGCGGGCTACGTAGGTAGGGTTGGCGCCGGTGAAGACGGCACCGGCCATGAGGACGCCGAGGAAGATGGACGGGAAGTAAAGATGGTTCCGGGAGAAGAGGAGGACCCGGTCTCCTGGTTGAATGCCTGCCACATCGCGGAGGCCCAGGGCGACTCGTTTGGCGAGCGCACGATACTCGGCGAAGGTGAGGAAGCGGTCCGGGTTATCAACATCGATGAAGGCCTTGCGGTCGGGGTCGGGAAGGGGCGCCGTTGCGGAGCCGAAAATCCATTGCTGCAGGGACGTGTTGGGGACAGGTGATTCCCAGCGAGATGGGATAGGCATGCTGGGCGATGCGATGCGATGCGATGTTCTGTTCCTTTTTGTTTGTTTCTTTCTTTTCCCCGTCCTTCGTCTTCTTGTTGTTCTTGTTGTTCTATGGTTCTTTTCGAGGGAAGAGGTTATACCGACAGACCTAACGAACGGGGGCAGCAGCTGGTGGACGACTCGGAGGGGCCCCAGGGAAGCATGCCTAAACAAGCATAAGTTATATAAGTCTAGACAAGCGGTTCCCCCCTCTTCGGGTCGCTTCAGCTTGGACAGGTTTGTCAGGGGTAGAGAGAGAGAGAGGTCCAAGGGTAGTATGTAGGGGGTGTGGGTATGCCTCGGCATGTCGTGAAAGAGAGGGAGGGAGGGATGATGGCGGTGCCCATGACGAGATGAGAATTTACCTACCTTAGGTATTCATTATCTGACCTCTCCCTAACCTGTACATTCGCTCTTTACCATGCGACATCTTGGCCTTTCACGACCGGAAACCGTTTCGAGCAGAGATCCTTAATGTCCAGGCGAACGGAGTAACGCTATGTACGGAGTACTTCGAACATCGCAAAGGTATCAGCTTTCCCCAGTTCTTGGCTTCCGTTTACGGTAGGGTACGGTACGTGTACTTCATAATACTCCGTGAACTCCGTATGTACACGTGTATTCCTGATGGACTTTCTTCCAATCTCCCCGCCTTCTCCCCGCCTTCTCCCCGCCTTCTCCCCACGTTTTAGGACGGGTACATCCCAGCATCCCGCCAGTAATGCTGCTTCAAACAGCGGACTCGCGGGGCCGGGGCCTATCTTTTCGATTTGCCCCACTTACGTGTGCCCCGAGCGGTGCGGCGGGGAAGCCGAGGCAACTGAGCATAGCACGAGGGCATTACATAAGCTTATATTCTGTTCGTTCTCCCATCGCGAGACATTGGTTCACCCTTCAACTTTGAACATGAATAACACGATATTTCTTGTCCCACGGCGCATTGGAAAATTGCAATAATGACTGGGAAAAGAAAGAAAAAATTGCTTTGGACCACTGTCTTTAACCCCCCCGGGGTATCATACATATAAAAGTACTCCTCACAGAATCAAGCCGACTCGAACCAAACGCAACACCTCTGTTTATCCTCCCCCTCCTCCTCCTGTAACTCGACCGTCTAGCAAATGTCATCCAAAAGAAGAGACACTATAAAGCGAGCCCGGTCCGACGGTTCGTTCAAGCCTGCTATACGCAGAAGTTAAATTCCCCTCCCCGTAGCCCTCCGAGACTCCTCCATCCCCGGACCAGAAGTGAACCTATCCCGCCACCGACACCATCCCGATCCAACTGAAACCGACCTGACCTGACCTGAACTGACTGACTGACCTGACCTGACCGCTCCCCGATACGCCAGGGCCCTAACCCGATGCTTTATGAGGGGCCGAAATGCCAACGTAACACCATGCCGCGGTTTCGTTTCCCCGCTTTATGAAGAAAAAAAAAAAAAAAAAAATACGCCAGGGCCCTAACCCGATGCTTTATGAGGGGCCGAAATGCCAACGTAACACCATGCCGCGGTTTCGTTTCCCCGCTTTATGAAGAAAAAAAAAAAAAAAAAGAGCCCGCCTCATCCTTCATCGAGGAAAACACTCGTCCTTTACCGCTTCTGCTTGCGCCGCGAAGACCAGCCCCAAATCTTCCGCCTGTCCCGATGGATGGACCGTATCCTCTTGAGGTGACGCCGGGAGTGGAGCGTCTCCTGTCGCGCAGCCCAGGAATCCCCCCCCGCTGGTGGTGACGGCTCTTCCTACGACCCGACAACCAGACAGGAATCCAGCACCGAGTCCAGAAACGCCTGTTCCTGGTCCTCGGCACCGTCCCAGAACAGGTCTTCCGCATTCGAATCCACGTCCATGGCGGTGGCACTTTCGACCATGGCGACGTCCTCGACACCGTCCTTGTGTCCGTGTCCGTGCCCGTGCCCGTTGGTCAGCTCCTTCGTCGACGTCGACGGCCGGACATCGAGGCTCGCTTCCCCCTTGCCCTCTGGCCCCGTCGCGCCCCGCCCTTCCCATCCGGGGACCCACGTGTAGTCGTGCCAATTCTCCAGCTCGCCCTCGCGCCAGCCGTACGTGATGCCGGTGGTGATGATGGGGAACTGCGCCAGCCCGTTGTCGGCCATCTCCAGGGCGACGCGCACGTCCGACATGCCCAGCGGTCCCCGTTCGCCGGCGGCCCGGGACTCCACCGGCAGCAGCCCGCTCTTGTCGCGCGTCAGCTCGCCGCGCTGCGCCGCCCCCTCTTCCCGCGCGAGCTGGCGCCGGTAGCGGTGCGTCTGGATCCACGACGTCCCGATGCCCAGCCCGGCGCTGCCCGACTCGCCGGGGCCGTTGCTCCGCGTCTTGGTGAAGATGGACGACAGGACGCCCTTGATGAACGCCTCGGTCGCCGACGATACGTACTGCGCCGCCTCGGCGCTGTGCCCGCTGGCCAGGCCGGCCTCGTAGCAGAGCGGGAGCATCCTCCCTTCGATGACGGGCACGTCGGGGAACTCGCCCGACTCTACCGCCAGGGGTTGCGCGAACCGCTTCCGAATCTCGATGTCGAAATCTGGTTTCCACAAACCGACGGGATTAGCCGGAACGTTCTCAAATTCCAAGTTTCTCCCTTTTCTTCTTTCTCCCTCTTTTCTTCTTTCTCCCTCTTTTCTTCTTTCTCCCTCTTTTCTTCTTTCTCCCTCTTTTCTTCTTTCTCCCTCTTTTCTTCTCTCTCTCTCTCTCCCTACAATACGTACTCATCTTGCTGATACCGCCCGCACTGCTAATGCCCGTCGCACTGGCGGGCACCTCGGTCGTTCTCGAAGGTCGTCGGTACGTTTCTGTAAAGACGCTCGCGATGTTCTCGTAGGGGTCATACTAATAAGCAGGGGGCAAATGTAAGTGCTAGAATGGCCGTTCGCAAGAAGAGAGAACGAGAACGAGAATGAGAATGAGAACGAGAAGGGGAGGAAACGGGGTGGCCGTACATCGTTTTGAACCAGGTCCTTGATGCGCCTTCTGTCCCGCGCGGGTAGTTGCATCACTTCGCCTTTCAATCTTCGTTCCGCCGCGTCACCCGACACTGGTTTGCTGCCCGAGTTGGCCGAAGGTTTGTCGTTGGCGCTGACCCAGGGCGCAAGACCCGGATCGGGCATCTCCCTTGTGACATTTCCGTAGATGGCTGCCACGAGCTGGTTATGGAGGTGTTCTTTCTCGCCGTTGGGCGAGCTGAGGATGGGATCAACGATGTCCGAATACTCGGCTTGGTTTAACCGGCCTACCGTCATACAAGAGAATTGGCGGTGAGTTAAGAGACCTGGCAGGGGGAAGGGTCGTTTCAGCTCTAGTTAGGGCACATGACATACCGATGAGAAACTGAGTGAGGGCCTCCTTGTATGGGACCCATTGTTCGCTCCCGATGGCCTGCTTTAGTGCGGTATATAGGGGCTCGAGATCGATGCGAGAAGGGATGATCTGACTCGACTTGGACACCTTGACAGTGCCAGGAGCCGAGATGGAGATGGACTTGGTCGAGAGGACGGGGGTAGAAAGGTTGGCGGGGCGGCTTAGAGCCGCGGGATCGATATCGGGCATGGTTATGTTCCGGTTCGGTCGGGTTCGGTCGGGATCTGGTGGTCGCAATGTCGTAACCTGAACGTATTGACGCTGTGGGTGATGAGTGGAAATCGAGATGTCGATGTCGATGTCGATGTCGATGTCGCGTGCGGCCAGGGAGAACAGCACACGGTCGGAAGCAGTCTCATGGGCCGCATAAAATAAAAGGAAGAGCAGATGCGGTCATGGGGGGATGTCGACTCAATCTTGGATGGATTGACCCATTCTTGCCGCCAAGGATGCGATGGGGATGGTCGCGGTGGTGATAGTTAGAAATAAAAAGTGACGACGCTTTTCGACATGTCGTTGGGTTTTCCCGCTTCGTATGAATCCGTACTAATAAATGCGCCCCAAAACCATAAATTACTCGGGTACATAGACACACGCAGTGCAGTGACTCTAGAGTAATGATTCCGTACAGGGTACCTGGAACCGCTGCCATATCTGGGAATCGACCCCACGGAAAGTTGACATACCTAAGGTACCTTAGTGTACAGCGGACCTAGCGCCTGAAAAGACCCCGAGAGACACTGAAGGGCGAACCAATTAAGGTACCTGTAGTTACACAAGGTATAATGCCCTGACTAAGGCACCTTACTACCTTATACTCAATAGATCCCCTAGGGACCACGTCGTGGTCCGTGTGCCCATGCGACAGTTGGTATGACTGATACTGTCAATATATACGTCCTGCCACTATTTTCTTACTACTCACTTTATACATACAAGTGTTGATGAAAGGTGAAAGAGTAGATTATCGAGATGAGGCGTCTCACTCGGTAACATGTCTGACTCGGTGTACAAGTACGATCTAGGTCTTTAATTTCTAATATGTACTAAGACATTCTAATTTCATCTGACGATAAGAGGCAGTCGGTGACTTACATGGTCGGACCTACACTAGCTTGCAGAACTAGAGAGCAGCCAACAACGACAATGAAACGTACATGCACATGAAAGACAATCGTGACCTGCCACTCTCGATGAAGCGACCACCATGGATAGTACCACGGTTTGCCGCCCTCGAGATAGAGATAGAGGCACAGCCTGCTATTAAGCTCAGCGGCGTATCATAACAATACATATAGATAATATAGCATTGATTACATTGGCCGCCTGTTTACAATGATGATGGACGTGCAAAAGCATTGAAATGTAGTATGCAAAACCTGTTCACATCAAAAGAAAATGCATTACCAAGCGGGTTGAGAATCATCCGCTTCTGAGCTACGGACCGGACTGAATGAAGTGTCGAACTGCTCCTTTTTCCCATCGACCTCTACACTTAGGAGAGTAGATGAATGCAGTCCGGAGCGTCTTTCGTAATAGTCCGGGAAGAAACTAGGCCTTGGCTCCCAGATATCCTTCCCCTTAGCCAAGGGTGACACATACGCCCCTTTCACACTGTCATTCATCTTCAGCTTCTTCTCATAAACCGCCTTGTTTGTTTTAGACCTGTCTGCGATGAGTCTTGCTAGATCTTCATGGCCGCTCAGCGAAGCCCACTCTGCTGGAGTTTTCCCGTCCATATAGTCCTTCGGGTCTGCCGGCGCCCCGCTGCGAAGGAGCATGTCGACCACCTCGATGCTCCCCTGACTCGCAGCACTGTGCAGCGGCGTCACGCCGTTATAGTCTGCCCTCCCAGGATCGGCTCCGGCTTCGAGCAGGGTCCGAATGATGTCGACGTGCTCCCGAATCGTCGCCGCATGGATGGGAGTCCCGCCGAATCGGCTTCCCGGCGCGTTCAGCTGGGCATGCGTCGCCGGCTCGTCGAGCAGAGCGTCGAGAATGTCATCAAGGCCTAGTGAGGCTGCGTAGTAGAGCGGGGTCGCATGGTCAGGGTATACGTTCCACTTGAAGTCCGCATCGGCGTTGAGAACCTGGACCCATGACATGAAACTCGGCCGCGCGTTGGGGGAAAGGAACCGAAGCGCTAGGGCCCTGATGTTCTCGTCGGGACCCGAGTTCCGGAAGTGGTAGAACCAGTACTTTGTGGCGTATTTCAGGAGGGGAAGCTTCTTCAGTCGCGAGGTGTAATTCTCTTTCTCCATGGCTGGGCCACTCGCAAGCTCGGCAAAAAGCAAATACGTCAAGCATGATTTTGCTACTTGAGCATGGGCTTTGTCAAGCTGCATTGCAAAGATGGCTGTCTCTGGGGCCTTTCCGATATTGTCTGACAGGAGGAAGTCGCGGACGGACAGGTGGGCGAGATTGACGTATCCAGCCAGGTCAGGACTAACCGTAAGGAGGCTGTTGCCGACACTGACGATATCCTGTGGGCGTCTTAATCGATTTTCTTCGTCGATGGAATCCTTTCCCCATTCTATTGCAAGTGCGTCCCAGAGTTGACCGAGCTTCAGGGGTTCTCTTATGGCAACTAGCCAGGCCAGTGTCTTCTGGATCAAATCGATATCTGATGGCGGCACCCCGGCTAATATTCGACCGTATGTTTCGTTGAGTCCAGCTGGCAGGGATTTCAGGGCTAGTTTTACAGCCCGATCCGTTCTTGCATGGGCGAGTGTGTTCAATTGACATGTTGCCCACCGGAACCTATTCTCACCCATCTCGTTAAAATCACAACATATATCCAAAATAAAACGTGCGGTTGCTTTCGGGCCAGCCATGTTCACACACTACTTACATTCCCTGCGACCTTTCTTTGACTGTATCAAGGACTTTCCGTTGTAGATGCGGTGAAATGTCCTTCAAAGCATCATCGTGGCTAAGTCGGCCTTCAACATAACGTTGAATATCAGCGTCAACTTCCGATAAATGGTTTTCTAACGAAACCCGAGGGGTTGATTCTAGGACCTGCTGTATTGCCGCGTCATTTCGGCTTGTAGCCAAGATGTTGATATGGCCACTCATCTTGGACAATGTAAGGAGTTCCTCAGCCAACAAGCGTGGTTTGCTCATTTCATCCATGGCGTCAACAAAGATGAAAACAGTTGTGCTTCTGGATATGGCGTGTATGGCTTTGGCGATTACATCAACCGAACATGGGTTCCACCTATTGCCCTCGGTGCACATCCTGTGACAGTCGAGCACATTCTCTGGAAATTCTCGAGTTTTTGTGCATATCTGGGATAGGAGTGACCCCAAGATATTGCTGAGTTTCTGGGAGTCAGGGAGTCGGAAGTCGCAATAACACACGGCTGATACTGCAGTGCAATTACCGCTGGTGTGTCTTGGACTTGCATTTATTCGCTCAATAGCTTGTGAACTACAACCCGTCAATTTTGAACGTCAGCAGGCTCTCCAGTGCAGGGGCTTACAGTAGAGTTGTTTTGCCGGAGCCAGCTGTTGGAGAGCTTGGTATTAACGACTGGTAGCCTCTCAAGCGGCCGGCCGTAACTTACGGGGTCCAGTTATCCATAGAAAGCCACAATTCGACTCAGCCCATGTCTGAAACTGTTTGGTCTCTAGGAACCAACCAGATGTGACAACCTCGTCCGGTTGGGGTGCTCCATGGGGTGTGTTGCTAGTTTTAAGAGGGGACAGCCACTTTACGACAGCCTTTTGCTGTTTATCTTTGGGTTATTAGATGTTTAGCTCAGATATGTAGTAAACTTCGGCAACATACCGAGATCAGCCATATTAACTAGTCTAGTCAGGGCCTCCAACTGCTGGCAAGATGTGGAAACTCTATAGTCTATAGATATAGAGAGGCGCTCAACGTTTCGAATTGTGACACTATTAAACAAGGTTAGGGCAGCTCTACTAATATGAGTAGGTCTCGCTGACAAGTTATGGGATGATATTGCAAGGTTGATTGACGACTTGCATCTTTGAAGCCGTGCTATTGACATCTTGGTTTCATCCGGGTTCAGGAGCGAAGTCAAGCCTTCCTTGAGGCGCTTTGTCTTCGACTCGAGAATGGCGTCCACCCTGGTGGGGTTTATCTTCTGCTCCAAGGACCGAAGCTCGACTAAACAGGTCGAAAGGGCTGGTTTCAATGTTTCTGCGAGAAGGGCAATCGATTCCTTGGCTACCGAAAGAGAATCGTCGGGGAAGACTGTGGCATCTAAGGCTGATTGGATGGCTTCAAGAATATTGCGTAAGTCGCGAACTTCCTCGATAACTTGAATGTAGGCCCACGAGATACCGCGGGAAGAGGATTGAATCTGGTAGCAGAAGGATAAAATGGCGCCAGCCGCCTGAAGGGCGGCTAAAACACCCGTAGATATGCTCAACGGGTCCATTCTGTCGTAAGTTCAACAAGAATAGAACCTTCTTTAGTTCGCGATATTAGTTGCAGCGATAGATGATATTGGTAGGAGGGACGTGCAAGGATGGAAAAAGAGAGAATCAACTTCTTGTATGCTTTTCCGAAACGACATGCTGCACCTGTCGTGAAGGCCACCATTGCTGGTAACCACTTTTCGTCACGTGCTAGTGGATCGATGTAAAGGTACAACGCACACCGTGGTCTGACAACTGGTCCTGCGGGAAATCGTCGGTATGAAAACGGTGGACTCTTCGGGCGTAGGTACATCAAACGAACGGTGTTTGTATGGGGAAACCGTTCTGCTTAAGTACCCTGGCCCGTATCGCCCAGACTAGACTAGACATCTACCCTAGCTCTTCAATTGACACAACTCCTTACGTAATTTATGCTAGGTTGATCTTGTGTTTTCACATGGTAGCAACTGGTGTTCCTGCTATTCTTTTTTTGAAGCTCTAGATAGCTTCCAAAAATCGAACCGCCGCCTAGCTCGCGAAGAGTTTTGGTGCTGCAGCGTTACGCCCTCCCACCCTCCCAACCTAGCCAACCGCTCGCCTACCCAGGCTTGAAGCTATCACCAACCACTCTAGCTGGTGCCTAGCTTGGGGTTTGCCGCACCAGGGTGTGCGGGCCCCTACAGTGTAGTGCATATGCCCACGTCGCATCGTCAGGGATGCGGTCCAGGGGTACAAGGGGGACTCTCCCCCCCCCCCCCCAAGAGCTTATCTTCAGGTGGCCCGGCCCGATATGGGGTAGGGAAAGCTTCAGCGAATACCATTTGGTCAGTAGCCGCCAGCGAAATCAAAGGGATGAGGCTGTGACAACGAGCCTTCCGCGTGACAAACACACAAAGAGCTTTATTCTTTATCGTGCCAATGTGCCCCTTCCCTTTCATTTTGCTTCAATTTGGCCCAATTCCAAGGCCACTCTCACAGCACAGTCACCATGGCGTCTCTCCCGCGAAGACTCCTCGGCCGCTCCAAGGGCAACTACTTCGTCTTTGACCCGCGAGCCCAGGGAGTCACCGACTACGACATTCTCTCATACCGCTGGGGCGACACCAGGACCCCTTACCGGTGCGACATCGGTGGCGTGGACTGGGATGTGATCCTACCTGAGCAGAAGCTTAAGGACATCAAGCGTCTGATGGAAAGTGCTGGCATCGATAGTTTATGGGTCGACTGCGTGTGCATCCACCAGACGGACCGAGCCGAAATGGCTGCCGAAATGGCCAACATGTACCACTACTACAAGCGCGCACGCAGGTGCCATATTCTGATCGACATGGACGAGGTGTGGGATCCCGACGAGATTGGCAAGGACCTTAGGTTTATCGACCACATCTTGACACACATGGGCGGGGCGGCGCTGGCGGCAGAGGCGACGAGGCTGACGGAGAACATGACCCGGCGTTTGTCGGAATGGGCTCACCGAACATGGCTGTTTCCCCTGGACGAGTCGGTTGCGAGGGCCGCTGGCGTGGAGATGGGCTTGCTGAATTGTTACTCGACTTGTATCCGGCATGTCTGCTCTTTGTTTCAGAACCTCTACTTTTCTCGAGTATGGACCTTCCAGGAGATGTTGTTGGGAAAGAATATTACCCTGTGGGGCGTGAACAAGAAGACCATGTCGTGTATCGGCCATCTCTATACCTGGATGGACCTGGCTACAGACGCCAAAGACAAGGCCTACAAGCTGCAGGCGTGGATAGAGTCGTGCAGAGTGCTCAAGTCCGCGTCGGTGAAAGCAGTTCTCGCCAGGATCGAGGACGACAACCTGACCCTCGGCTTACTTCAGATACAGGTCAAAGGCATCAACAGTGCCAGGACAGACATCATCAGTGGCGGTCCCCACTGGTGGCTCGACAATCACAAAGGCATCAGCAACGTCTTCTCGGCAGTGTCACTGCGGCCTCGTGGCTGTGTACAGGTAGCCGATATCTTTCGGGGGCTCCTTGGCGTATTCAATGGATTGTTCACCGCCGAGGAGATCGAGAGAGAGATGCCTGACAATGACATCGAAAGCTCGTCTTTCAGCTTCTTTAAGCAGTTGTCGGAAAAGACGGGTTACGCCTGGACGAGGCTTGCCATTAGCAGCAAGGATAGGGGAGAGTGGGACTGGATACCGGTCATGGCCAGCTCTAGTAGGCTCTTGACGACGGACTGCTTCGCCGGCGTTGTTCAGCTGGGACGCCTCAAGCCAAATGGCGTGGCTAAAACGGATGCCACGACCGGGCTCATCGGGAAGCCGCGGAAGTACATGACGATCCGTCTACGACAGGAGAACAGTGCCGATTTCAATTTTAGCTACCATGGCTGTAATTGTGGCAGGAGCATCAAGACAGGCTTCCGCAAAACGGAGCAGATTAATCTCCACGATCGGCGTCGGAACGTGGTTGGAGACGAAACGGGGAGAACCTTAGTGATACTTAGTACTCTCCTCGGGAGCATCATGGAGCCTGGGGGGAACGTCAAGGAGTACAGGTACAAGCTCCTTAGTAAACTCCTCCCCAACTGGCGCGTCACAGACCCCAACGCGAAGCCGACGGACTGGATCGACCGATGCGTGAGCGGAACTCCCTGGGAGAACCCAAACTCGGACTTCATCCGAGTACACAACGAGTCCATGAACTACCGGCTAGCAGACATGATCAGCTGCGCCTCGCGCCTCGCGAACGATACAACGAAATGCATCTCGTGCGAGATTGTCGTCAACTGCGGGTGCACCATCATTGGACCCTTTGCGCTCATGATGCAGGCCATCGTGTCGATGGAGGGCAGCTTCCTCGGCGCGACAGCGGCCAACCTTGACGCCGATGACCGCATCGTGCTGCAGGACGGACTGGGGCTCGTGCAGATAGGCGATGTCGGCCGGGAGGGGTTTCACCTTGTAGCCTTCGAGGGCGATGTCCAGGCTTACCGGTTGCACGCGGCAGCCTGCCGTAACACAAAGGACACCAAGCCAGTGTTTTACAAAGGACAATGGCCGACAGGGAGGGCAATGGTGAGGGAGGATTTCAAACACGGCTTCGCGGGCATGACTAGGGACTACGGATACGTTGATACGGATGGATCTGGGAATCTGCTGATTTGCAGGAACCATCCCATCGACCCATACAGGATTGTGGGGGTCTGTATTGACGAACATTTTCACAGCAAGAAGGGGAAACAACCTGTGTATATCAAATAGCGGCCGTAAGAATAGCAGGATTGCGTTTTCATGGTAGCCAGACGTCCACGTCTAGCTTGACGCAGCTGCGGAATATCCACTACTATTGAAGAAACCAGGCAAGTGCACAACGACGTGCACGAAAGTAAAGCCCTAAGCTAGAGGATAAACACCTGTTAGGGGTTCGGTACAGATGATAACAACATCTAGAGGGCAGATAAGAAGTTGGAATAGGATAAGAGTCAAATGAATATACGGATTGTCTTCATCGTCGCTCTCTTGTGGTGTTTCCGGTAGATTGCTATCAAAATCGTACGGAGAGTCGTAGTTTGGGATGCTGAAAACTTGGAAACTGTTCAGGATAGTCATCCTGAGACACCACCGCCGATGTTGCCCTAAAAGTTGACAAGTCTTGAATGAGATCATCTTTGCCTCCTAGGGCAGTGTCCGCCATACGTGACATTGCTGTTCCGCACCGGGCAGGGCTGCGTCTTGACACCGTGCTGCAACACAAAAGTAGCAACTGCCCATAAGGTCAGCAACCCAGAGATATACAAAAGACGTGGATTCCCACGCGCAAAGCTTTAACAGTGGTCAATTTACACCTGCCACTTCGTCCGCTTCGCAAGGCTAGGAGAGATGGAGAGAATTGCCACTGGCTGCCTTTAACGCCGCCAATGTTGCATTAAGCATGCCAAGAGCGACCGTGAAAACATGCAGCAGACCCTTTATTCAGGTTGATGATAACGGCTATCGAATATTGGCTATATCCTACCTTTATCATACCATTCAGGGGATGCTCAGCAGATCACAGGTAATAGAACCAGCTTTGCGTTGATGGGTAAAGCTTTATGAAATTCTTTGGCATTCTCCTGGCGATCGCAACGTGATGCAGATGCGAGGTGCCTACCTCCTTTGATTGTAGCCGAAAATGCCATGGCTAGTCGGGTCACGCTCGGCTTGGGCGATATCGACTGCACTTTCGTGAATCAGGTTGTGCTCTACCAGTGAAGCTAGGAACTCCATGGTCCATTCCTGACACCGCTTCGTCCTGACCTGTTGCTCTTAGCAAATGAACTTTCAAATAATTCTAATCAAATCAGCACTTACACCATCGATAGGAGCCCGAATATTTTGGCCACCGGTGGGAGGCAGAAGGCATATAGCGATGTTTTCTACCTGATATCTTGGGGTGCTCTCTTTGACTTTTTTAGAAGAGCTGGGGTTGTATATATAACTGTGTTCGATTAAACCGAGCGGAACTAGACTCTTCAAGTCTTAAGAAGTAGTGCAAATTATATTTGAATTCGTGAGCAAAACCTGCCTAGGCTCCCACGATCCTGTATATCTGACTTTCCAGGAGCCGGTCTTATATCGCACGTTAAAATAGCACTTATATAATTAACTTAATAGAGCAGAAATCTTATATATATATATATATATTATATTAAGTTATATCTATATAAGTCTTTTATACGCTTGGTTTAGGTGGTAAAGACTCTATTATAGGTACTATATTATTTAGATCCTATCTAGTCTTTTCTAGTATCCTCTTATCGCACGTCAAATAGGCACTTGAATAATCAACTTAGTAAAGCAGAAATCTCGTGTGTGTGTATTATATCAAGTGATATCTAGGAGAGTCTCTTATACCCTTAATTTAGGTGGTGAAGACTCTATTATAGGTACTAAGTCATTTAGATCCCATCCGGTCTTTTCCGGTATCCGCCCCTGTCATATCCGAAGCCCTTAGTCATAGCGTGGATCCCCCCTGGATCCCCTATAGACCACGTCGTGGTCCGTGTACCCATACAACACACCCCCTCAGTTAAGGTAGGTCTTCTCAGGTCAACTAACCAATCAGAGGCTTCGGTTTAAACCAAACGCTCTTAACTTTTCCATCGAAAAATTCAACAGTCAAGGGAAAAAACGCCCTCGTAAAAGGGATCTAAATCCGCCCTATTTAACCGTTTAATTTAATCCTATCTTAATTAGTTCCTCGATCCTGATTAGTCGGATCTACTTAATCGGATCCATATCCATCGGATCTACTACGCCCTTAGGGGCCTTCGTCGTTATTACGGCCGTGGCTTTAGCGCGTTTAATCTTTTCGTGTAGTCGTTTAGACTACTCGATACGGTCCTTTGATCCGTTAAATTAAGCTATTACTATAGTCTTTTAATCCCTGCCTCCGGTAGTACCTTCGTTAAACCGTCCGCGATTATCTCCTTCGTATTAATATACGTGACCTTAAAAAGGCCCTACTATACTAACTAACACGCCCACTAATTATAAATATCGATATGCTGTAGCCTTATTCGTAGGCGTTATGCCTTCTTATTAACGAGGTTAATAGTCTATTAATTATCGTAGTATAGCTATAGCTATTATTAGTCTAGCCGAAGCTCTAAATCCCTTAACATCCGGCTAATAAATAGCGTCTCCTTAGCTGCCTCGGTAAGAGCGAGTAGTTCCGACTCTATTAACGATATTATAACCGTCGGTTATTTACCCGCCTTCTAGTTAACGGTGCCGCCGAAAAGCTTTATCGTATATCCTTATAAGCTCTTACGGTCTAAATTATCCCTAAAGGACGCGTCGCTTACTATTAGGGAAAGTCTATCTCCACCGAATTCTAAGTAGTAGTATCTTATATAGTATAGGAATAGTAGCACTTATTAAGCCCTCTTAAGGTAGTTAGAGGAGGGGTTAACATTATATTAGGAAAGCTTTAAGCAGGCGAACACGATATCGGGTCTTATTACGATAGCGGCGTATAGAATAGAACCGATTATCCGATTATTCCCTAATACTAACGGACCTCGGGAATTAACGCGCGGGTACTATCTCGGGGTATTACCGGCTCCGTAGATAATAGGACTTTTAGTAGTTTTCGGTAGAGTATATCTACGTAGTATTTAACCGCGATCTTCTCTATATAGGAGGATTATAATAGCTATAACCTATAGGTAGCTCTATCCCTTAGGACCTTAATTCCCAGGAACTAACGGATTTCTTCGCCTCCTAATAACCTATAGCTTCGCTTAAGGGCAGCCTTAAAGTCGTCGGCGTCCGTCTTACGGTCTCTATAGTATATAAGTCCGATATTATTAACGTAGAAGAATAGGATTAAACCGTCGCGGATTATAATATAGGGGTTATCAGGGACGGCTATAAAGCCTATCCTCTATAGTATACCGCTAAATTCCTCTTACTATAGTAGTGGCAATACCCTTAAACCGAAAAGGGCTTTCCGTAGTAGCAGGACCTTACCTAATACTTCGTAGCCTTACGGTATCTTTATAAATACCTCTTCTTTAAGGCTAGCGTTAACGAATACGTTAATAGTATCGAACTGCCTTATCTCCAGGTTAAATCGGGCGGCGATCGCTATTAATATACGGAAGGACCGCGAGGCTAGCGTTATAACGTAGTTATCTTTAGTCTCTAACCGTTTTTATTAATCCCCTCGGACTATAAGGCGTGCCTTATACTTAAAGAGGGTGCCCTCCTTATTAAATTTATAGGTATATACCTATCTATAGGCGAGGACTTATTACTTATTAGCTTAATTACCACCTACCTCCTACTAGCAGCCTATCTATCGGTGCCCCTTAAGGTATTCCCCCTCGGCCTATAACCACCAATCCCGTAACGGGCAAAGGCGTATATCGCGGTGATGCTTTAATAAAGGCGGGAGATCCTCGCGGGTTATATACGATAGCGGCTAAGAGGTATTAAAGGGAGTAGAATCTATAGTACCGATATCGCCGTTATTAATAGCTTACTTCCTCGCGCGTATAGGGTTATAAGTCCTGCTAGCGTTAAAGAACGCCTTCTAGGCATTATCGTTCTAGACCTTCTCGGTCGTGTATAGACTTACGATAGTTCTCGCGATAGATAGGCGCGTGGCCGACGGGCGTGCGGCCGATAGGCACCCCCTAGGGGTATCCTCGGCTATCCGTTAGTGGTTATCGTGTTCTTCCACCTTAATTCCCCTAACCACCGCTAACGCTATAAGGAACACGCGTACAGGATCTTCCGGGGATATTAAAGACGTAGGAAACGGTTTAAACCTTATAGTGGTAAACCGTAAAGTGTCCGTAGTAATAGCGGTAGCCTCTCCCGTAGTAATAGCAGTAGCATTAGAGTTATAAGGTTCTAAATCTATAGCCTAGTTATTAGGCTATAGATTTAGAACCTCGTCTATAGTAATAGTAGTAGCCTCTCTTATAGTAATAACGATAGCCTCGCCTTCGTCCGTAGTAATAGCGGTAGTATAATCTTCTCCTATAGTAATAGCAGTATCCGTAGTAATAGCGGTGTCTATAGTAATAGCGGTATAGTCTATAGTAATAGCAGTGGCCTCTCTCGTAGTAATAGCGACGGCCTCGCCTTTATCCGCAGTAATAGCGGTAGTATCGCCTTCACCCGTAGTAATAGCGGTAGCGTTAGAGTCTTCCGACTTAAGATCTAATACGTCTACGGCTATACCCCTTAATACTAGCCTATTCGCGGTCTTATTAGATTAGGTGATACGGATAGATTATAGGCGTTCCCCGATTTCCTCGGCGGAAGCTATAGCTTATAGCGTTTTAATTCTACTATTAAATATCTCGTCTTCGTTAAAAACTATATCTCTTATAGTAATAATATCCGTTAGGTATAGTAGCTAAATACGGAAGCTATTCGAGGATTAGTATCCGATATAATAACTAATCTATACCTTCGGTTCTAACCTTTATAGGCGGTTTCTTTTAGCTTAAGCATCACGCGTTTTTATAAAGGCTTTATAGCCGTATGCTCGTAGGTGCGTAAAGTTAGGTTAATGGCCGCGTAGGCCTTCGTATAGCGTTCGCTAGTCGTTAATATATTATAGCGTCCTATTATATAGATTTATAGCAGTCTTAAAGATCCTAGGCTAGATAGATATAAATAGATTAGCCCTAATCCTTATAGCCCTCGCCCTCCTTTTAACGATACCTTTAATCCGTTCTATAACGCCGTTTTAATCCTATAAATATAGTGCCGACGGCTAGCCTTCTACCCCCTTAGCAGCGAGGAAAGCAACGACTTCTAGGTGCTAAAATATCTTAGAATCGGCCCGTAGAACGCGTGGCCTAACGTCGAATTAGGTCTTAAGCAGGGTAAAAACGTCTTTTAACGCGTGTAGGATAAAGCCTTAGTCTCTCTTCTATAGGTAGTAGTCCCACCTATAACCTATATACACGTCTATAACGAATATAATAGACTTATATAGGCCACCTAGCAATTCCGACTCTTCTAAATCGTGAAAATTAATAGCTAAGGCCTCTCCGGGCTTTAACGGGTAAAGGGATAGTATCCGTGGGATCTACGTAGGCACTTACGATTACCTATACGCGTTATAGTCCGTTATATAAGGTCCCTTTATCTTTACCCCCTAAGTAGCGTCGACGATCTTTATAAGAGTATCGGTGCCGTAATAGCTAAAGCTTTCGTGCTACTATTATACCGTGGTCTTCTACGGTTACCGCGGTTATCGTGATCTTCTATACGGGTTATCGCGGGGATACCTTACCGAGACCGTGAACGCGGTGGCGGCCATAGCTTCCGCGCGCTCGATTATATACTAGCCGTGGATATCTAGTAGCTTATAGATAGGCCGGTTATCGGCGGAGCTAACGATAGTATCGTTGACGGTATCCTAGCGGTAGTCTTATAGGCGTAGCTAGCGTTCCAAGACGATATTAGTGATAAATTCCTTATAGTATATAACATTACGGAGGCGTAGTAGCCTTTTCGTGCCCGATAGGGATTATATACGTAGCGTAACGTCTCCGTATCTAAGGATAAAAGCCTCGTGAGTACCCACCTAAAGGGATAAAGATAAAGTATCCGTGGGTAGTCTAACGGCCGTAGAACGGCCTCGATTATTAAAGATATAGATTAATAATCCTAAGTCTAGGATCGCGTAGTGTGATAGCGCTCTGGCTTAATTAATAAAAAGGGATACCCCCTATTCTTATTATAATCTTAATAGTATC